GGTGGCTCCCACCTCCAGCTTTGCCATCTCTGATGCCACCTGCAACCTAAAGCAGGTTTGGGGTGTGGGTGCCAGGCTGGGTCGTGCACCCGCCCCATCCCTCTGCTCCCCCTCCGGAAGCTCAGTTCTCCACTCTGGTCTTGACCTCATCCTTCCCAGAACTCCCTCGCCACGTGCCCAGTGTGGGGATGGATACAGGAAGGCAGAGCAGGGTGTGGGGTGGTTCCCAAGGTTCACCCCTGGCCACTCACCTGCTCCCAGCCTTTCTCCTTCTAGCTCCTGCTGCTCTTCTTGCTCGTCTCAGTGCCCTTGGAGACCTTATGCTGCTTTCAGGGTTTGCTGGGAGGCAGCGGCTTGTTGTCCTCGCCCTTCAGGTGCTGCATGTACAGGAGGACCAGCCTGCGGGGTGCGAGTCACAGCGCTGAGCCCCAGTCCCACTAAACCCCTTGGAGGGGGGAAACGGAGGTACTCGGTGCCTCTACCCTACACCGCCACCCCTCGTAGTGCTGCTGAGTCCACACTTGCCCACACTGCTGCTGGGGCTGCTGCCCAGCTCACCATACAGGTTCTTCTACAGCCATCTCCCTGTTACCTGCGGAGGCAGACGGTGTGAAGATGGATGAACCCTCCCCAAACCTGGAGCACAGAGCCATGGGATGGGGGACGCTGCCTGCTTACCAGCTCGTAGGCTCCAAGCTTCTCCATGCTTTGTAAATCTTGCACAGGTTAACTGGAAAGAAGGAAGGAGTCAGTGAGATGCGGTGCACACCAGCTCTTTGTCCCAAAGGCTCCTCCATCCCCAGAACATCCTCCGTCCTAGAAGCCCCTGCCAGGTATGCGCTGTGCTTGAAGTCGAGGTCTGGGATTGGATGCGCGCCTCTCCTTCATGAACTTGGAGAGGCTGATGAGGAAGGCCTCCTCCTCCTCTTCCTCACCGCTGGCATCTGACGGTTTTGCCTGCTCGGGGCTTGGTGCCTCCTGGGTGGGGGATGCAGGAGGAACCCAGAGGGGCAGATCTGCTCAGTGCATCTTTGGGATGGGGAAGAAGAGTGCACGCACCTGAGAATCCCTCGCTGGTGTAAGAATGTCAGCACTGATAGATACCTGTGATGGGAACTTGTGTGGGAGCAATGATTTAGTAATAAAATAGGGCAAATCCTTACGCTGAGGGGGGCACCCTTCAGGGGGGTACAAAATAACCGTTTGTGATGTCATGTTTGACAGTTTGCGTTATGTGGGTGGTGGAGCTGTGCTGATGTAATCCATTTCCAGTTGTGAACAGGATTGCTCTGGGAGCTGCTGCAGTGCGATGTGTGTTGGCTGACTGTAAGCTGAAACGTCACTGCCCCTGAATATGGATGTGTGCGGGGATTTTGTTTTTAGTTCTGGGATTTCAGCCTTGCCCTATGGCAGCTCTGAAGAGGCCTTGTTTTCCCAAACCCCTCTTTGCTGCTAAATGAGGCTGATGGCAAGTGCTGTGCTTTGGGCCCTTTGCTTTTAGTTTCTGTGGCCTGTGCACCTTGGAGGGTGCTTTCTTTCACATTTTTTTGTTTGCTAGCCACCTTTTCAGTAGGTAAGATTTATTAGGGATGGTCTTGCTTTCCTGTGGTGGCTATATGTAGGTGCTGGACCAGGGGAGGTTATCAGAGAAGGGAACGATTTGCTGCACTAATTGAATCGTAGCCTTTTAGACAAATGGAAGTTCAGGTGCTGATACTGCACTGTGTAGCTAGAGAACTTCCTCAGGAACAATCTGGGACGTGATCCCCAGTTCCCAGTTTGAGCTTCTCCATCTGTTTCTCCCATACTGGGGCAGACCTGTATCTTGGAGGCAAGATCTGGGCAGTGAAAAGCTCAGGGGATGTTGACTGGCCACGTTAGTATATGAAATGTTCAGGCATGGAAGGGAACAGCCAGTTTACAGCTGAGTCGTTTGCCTTTCCTCTTAAATTCCTGCGCCTGGTTTCTGTGAGCACTGTTATCCACTGCTTGCAGTGAGACTCAGCACTGGGTTTGGGGGGCCTGGTGCTTAGCGAGGTGTAACTGCAGCTGTGCACTGAAGCAAACTGCACCCAGCAGTATCACAGGAGCTGGAACATCTGGTGCGTGCTGGGTTTTAAACTGGACATGCTTTAATGGGACGGGACTTGTGGGCTGCCACTCGTTCCCTTGGGAAATTTCTGTGAGACTGGTTCCAGATGCTAGGACTGCCAAGGGGCCTGCGTGCCCTTCTGTCAGCGATGCCTGTTGTCAAGGCAGACGTATAGGTGGAGTTATACGTGCCTTGTTCTCTGTCAGGTTTGTTTTTGAACTGACGAGACAAAAATGAAATGGGGCACTTTTAGCTTGGATCAGTTCTGTAATGCGGTGCAGTGCGTGGTCTCACACTGAGAAGGTGACGGCTGAGCAAGGCTGGGGACTGCTGGTGCTCCTTAGGAGGGCAAGGAGCACGCTGACCTGTGCTCCTGGCTGGAGCTAGCAGGTCTGTAAATGGCTGTGCTGAGGGGTCAGGCCTTGCAGAGAGCTGGGGCCAGCAGCTGGGAGACGACGGCTTCACAGCCAGCCCTCCTGCAGATCACCATGACTTGTGTTGGGCTGCAGCCTTGCATCATGCCTCGGGTTAAGCAGGGGGCTGGAGGCAGGTGATGTTACTGGGTGGGAACCACGAACCCGACAACCTTCCACGTTCCTGTGCCTTGTACAGGCTGTGGGATCTTGACTTTGTTTGTTTTAGAGTGAGTTCAAACTTCTGCAGTGCCCAGTCTCCAGTGGTTCGGTCTGTCCGCTCTTGAAGTCAGTGGGAGCCTTCCTGGTAATTTGGTTATTCAACTGCTCCACGAGAACCTTCCCTAAATGAAAGTATGTAGCTGTGGAAACATTTGTCTGTAGGCCAGCAGGCAGAACAAGTGTGTGCAGAGGGGTTTGTGGAAGCACCTTGCCCGTTAAGGAGCCTCTCGCTGTGCTGTGAGTGCTTCAGTGCTGTGATGAAAATAATACAAAGGATTCTCATCATTAATGAGCCTGTTTGTGAATGGATGAAGCGTTGTCTTAAGGGCAGCAGTTGGAGCCCATCTAATGGAAGCTGACTGGAGGTGTGTCCTGTGGCTGTGACAAACTTTGCTTTATAACAGCCTGTGCTTTTCAGTAGCTGCTTGCCACGCTGTAATGTGGTTGGAGAGGGAGAAACAGAGCACTGGCCATTTCCCATGATGCAGATAGCGATAAGTTTCTACTCAGTCACAAAGCTCTATGGTCTGGCAGGTTTACAGTTATTATCCTAAGATTGATGTCTGAGGGGACTGTGAAGATGTGCAGCATTGAGAAATGGGTATCATTCTGTCCTGAGATGCAGCTTCTGTACGGCATCACAAATGCACATCAAAGAGTTGATTCTAGGCTTGTCATCCCTCTCCATCCTTTCTTCTCCCCTGCACTCCCAGGTTCAACGTCCTTTGCCGTGTCCTACCACACGGTCGCTTTTCTGACCTTTCTTTCCTGATGGAAAAACAGGGATGGTGACACGAGCATCATTGGAGAGGCCGTTAAGCTTGTTGTGTGAGCTTTCCTTTCTTTCCCCACAGTGCTGTTTTGATCTTGGGCAAATCCCCCTCTTCTCTTCCACAGTTTCGTCCCTGCTAGATGAGGGTGATGAAGGTTCATGCGCTGTTTCTCCAGGAAGGACTCTGGAAGGGCAGTGTTAGCTGTGTGCAGAGTTGTGGTACGTGCCTATTGCCCTTTGCTCCCTCTCCCTCCTCACTGAACATCATGAGTTTGGCCGTCAGGTGCCGCCGTGTTCTGCAGGACTTCCTTTTTTCGCTCTGGGTTCTCCCAGTCGGGCCTGTTTTTGAGATGCTGTTGGAAGTAATGCTCTGATCTGGAGAGCTGGAAACCTCTTTATCTCAGAGCACAGCTGTTCACAGCTGACAAATAATAGACTGTGTGATGGAGACTGGGAAACTACTTCAGTTTCTCTGTGGAAGGCTCAGCTGTACAGCACGAGGTACTGAGCTGGTCCGGTTTTGCTCTCACAAGGAAAATAGAGGATTGGAAAAGGATGCCAGCAGAAGTGCTTGAACATCAGCTGTGCTTGACGGGTCTCCATTCAGCGATGGCTTTTTGCCTGCTGCATTATGTTTTAAGTTCTTTAAGCCACGAGCTCCCCTCCGTGCCGTTCTCCCACCAGTCAAATTACCCTATTTCCTTTAGAACTCCCCCTCACGCAGGAGCTGGCACTTTGCTGCGAGTTTTGCCTCTCCCTGACTTTGTAACTCACCACTGTTCTGTTGGCCTGCATTCCAGTCGATGTCCCTGTTGTGTCAGTGCTGTTCTTAATACTGGAAATTGCCTTTTTCCCCCTTCTGGTCAGGATGTGATGCAGAAGCAGAAGCTGTCTGACAGCTGATTTTTCTGCAATGTTTTTCTGCAGTGCTCGTGCAAATGGTGTGTGGCTGTTCAGCAAAATAAGAAGACTTTTTCGCGTCCCTTTGGCTTTTACCCATGACCATTTTTTCTGCTGGTTGGCAGAGTGATGAGGCTGGGGTTGAATGATGGGATTATCAGTATTTCTAAACTAAAGCCCTGACAGATACCTCAAGCTGTTGTGGTGCTTTACCAGGTGGATCAGAAACGCAGACTGGAATATCTCAGTGGCTGATTCATTGGCCAAACAGCGACGTTTCAAACCCACGAGCTCATCTGGATGTTAATTTTCAGGGGGATCAAAGCTTGTTGGAATATGGGCTGTCTCTTTCCATATTATGTGCATTTTGTGCAGTTGAGTCTTGCAGTGTCTTTATAATTCACTCTTCTGCCATGAGGCGGGATGGTGCAACGTCCTGTTGTTCAGACGAACCAAGGATGCTGCCCAGATGGTGAATGAGACAGGGAATTCACTGCTTCTGACTGGTAAGAATCCTGGGCAACAGTTAGTAGGCCGGTATTTTCTGAGATAGAATTTATCATCACGCATTTGAGATCTGTCAGTGTTTCTGTTAACGCCAGAACACTCTGGGTGTATTTTCAAACCAGGGCTTCCAGTCCTGCTAACAAACAGTGGGGTTTGTGCACGTACCTCCATGGGCTCACGTGGAAACATACGTGAAGCATCAGAAGATTCCTGGGTGCGTGTTTAAGGCTTACTGCGTTCTCTACAGACTGAAATAGGATTTTCCTGATGCGGTGAGTGTTGATCTTATGGAATGTATGTACTGGGAGAAATTGCTCCTGGTGGCTGAAACAAATGCTGGAGTTGTTCAGTGCAGAGCTGTCACGGTTCTGGTCTGCCTGGTGCCACAGTGGAAGAGCCTGGGCTGTTCTGGGAGAGAACCATGTTCGTTGTACTTAAGCAGGAGAATGTCCCTGCGCTGTTATTCAGAAGAAAAGCTGTTCTGATCAACCTTACCTCAGGATCTTGTTTCTCAAATCCAAGCAAGACAGGACTGTGCATGCGCGTGCATTGAATACGATGCTGGTGTTTGGTTTCCGTGAGATTCCCCACATGAGTGCCTGCTGGCTCTGAAGTTGGCTCTTGGAATGCCATGACTCAGTGTCTCACTGACAGTGTGACAAACAGGACGTGGTTCTTGCAGGTCTGTTTCCTTGCCTAGCTTTATTTCCACTGCTGGGTAACTGTCTGTGCAAGAGCTGCTTAACAAAAGGAATGAAATGCACACTTTGCTGGAAAATTAGCGCTGAGTTTTGCCCGTTTCCTTGGAATGGAAAAGTGAACCTAACGTGCCTTGTTGTTATCAAGGGATTTGTTTGCTGGAGGCAAGCTGAGAAATGGTGCCTGGGGCCTGTGGGCACAAACAGATGCCAGTTTCCTATTCCTGCAGCAGCCTTTAAATGTTGCATTAGCAATGGTAGTGAGACCAGACACATCCAGGGATGTCCGTGCCCGAGGCTGGAAGTGAAGCTGGAGAAAAGCAAAACAGTTGACTTAAAACATGTGTGCTTAGAAGCTGGGAAGCAATGAGAAGTGTCTTCCTCTGTTCCTGTGGCAATTCTGCTGAGTAATAATCACTTGGCAAACTGCAGCAGCGTGGTAGGGGAGCTCAGGGTTGCAGTTTAGGAAGAGGATAGTGAGAGAGGCGAGAGGCTTTGCTAATGCTTGGCTGGGTGTAAGGAATGTTCTGCGTTAAGAACGTGTTTCGTATCAAACAATGTCAGCGGTCCACAGCATTTGAGGTACTGAACTCAGTACAAATGAGAAAAGCTGATGCTTTTTGTCTGCTTGGTAGTGGAACAAGGAAAATTGAGGAAGGTTTTTGGAACAACTTTATTCTTCACATCTTTCCTGGAAAAAAAATAATTCAGGCGGCCTGGGCTCTCTGTCCTTTATTTCTTCTGAGCCCTCGGAGCTGGATTTCTGCTCTTGGCTTTTCACAGGAGATTGGGCCAACAGAAAAGAGCTGATCCAGGAGCTCAGCTGGATCCAGGCTGACCTGCTGCTCAGTAAGTCCCCTCCAAGCTCAGCTAAAAACTTCAGTTTCCTTCTCCAAGTCACATTTGTCTGAGTTAAGCAAGCACTGAAGCAGATCTGTTCACCTCTGCTTTTCTTTTTAAGTTGCTCTTTTACTTCTGGACCTCCTGTAAGAATGACCACATGCTTTGCTTCTTGCTGATTCTGGGGTATCACAGTGCAGTTTCTCAGTCATGTATCTGGTCGTGAGCCATAGTTAAGGACGGAGGAGCTTTTCCTCCCTGCACATCTGCTGCTTCCCTGGCTTTCAGTAGAAACCCCCTTGTGAGCAGTGTAACGTAGGGCTGAAGCCCTCCGCTGAGCAGCACGGTGGGTTGTGGCTGAGTGCTGACACCGTGACTGTGCAGGGTGGGCTGGTGCAGCACACAGCTGTGATGGCTCTGTTCCGTCACTGATCCAGTCCTTTTTCAACTTAGTGACATATTTTGGTTTTGTGTCTCTCACTCTGAGAGGTGACTGCACTGCATGAAGGCAGCACCAGGAGAGAAACAGCTGTGCGGCACGATTTGGGAAGGGAACGTCTGAGTGCAGACTCCTCTCTAACACGGCAGCAATAGTGAGCTTTGGGATCAGGGTGTTTTGCAGAGCTCCTGGTAGGAGTTGCTCTCTGGAGCCACAGCTCTGCAGTGAGGAGCCTTAGTCTGCCTGGGTGGGTGTTTGCCCCTGCACCATCAGCTGCAGCAGAAAGCATCCCTGCGCACCAGGGGAACAGAGAACTCAAAAGCCCAAACCGACCTACTGACTGTTATTGACTGTTCTCCCCTTCAACATCAATAACTAGATGCTATTGGCAGAGTCTGGGAATAGCTGAAAGCTTTTTTCCCATCTGCTACACTGTGCGTGGCTCTTTAAAGGTGTGACCTTATCAAAGGTGGACTCAAAGCACAAATAAAACTGAAGGCAGGCTCTGTCTAGTTCAGATTCCCTTCAGTGGACCGTGGTGACGGTGAGCAATGGCTGTGCTGCTGAAGTTCATTCTGTCCTTCAGCACGGTTTTATCAGCAGTTAGGATGTAAAAAGCAGCGCTTATTGGCTTCAGGATCCTCCAAGCTTTCTGGCTGGCACTTGCTTACTTGGCCTAAAAATCAGGCAGGCTTATACTCCAACTGTAGTATTGACCTAGTGCAGTTTCACCTGCCGCATTGGGAGAAGAGGCATTGATGCCTTCTTAATGGGATTGCTGGTTAAACTGCAGCTGCAGGACCTTTACTGAGTGGGCTTGTTGGAGGAGCAGCTTGCTGTGACTTTGAGCTGACAGCGTGGAGGTTGGCAGCTGTTCCATTATCCCCACGCCATCAGGATCCAGAAGCACTGTGCAGAGAGGGGTACCAGGGGGATGTGCTTACTTGCAAAAAAGCACTTGAAAACTGTAGGTATTTTAAGGAGAGAAGCTGGAAATGGTTTTTGGTGAGAAACCTGTTTTTCTAAAAGATGCTGATTGTGACTTAGAATGTTGCTGTGCCCTTTTGGTTTCGGCTGTGTTGGCTGACCAGGATAGAGCTGAGGTGCTGCTTTCAGGGAGACAAGGAAAATGCTTTAGGAATGTTTAGCATCCAAACTCCTTAACAAACTAAAATACAGCACCTTTCATGTGGCCACCTGCTTGCTCTGTAGTCTTGCATTTCTGCCTGAGATAGGTGCAAATGTTACTCTAGGAAATGAGCCCATTAAGGACTAGTTGATCAAATCAGTTCAGGGTCACTCTGCTCCCTTACAGTACATCTGCAGCTCGGCCAGAGGTGTGAAGGCTGCAGATCTGACTGGGGGTCTTGAAATTAGTTCACATGTGCAGAGGGGGGCAGCAATGACGTGTGGGTGCCCGACGGCCCCATGTCTTTGTGCAGAGCGAGCAGTGGGTGCTGCCTGATAGGAACACTTAGAAAGCTGGCTCTGGCAGCTGGAGCGCTGGGGAGTCTGGTGTGTGTGTACTACCTCAGGGGACAGTGCTTCATCTTTTGTAGGAGGTGCATGTAAACGTGAGAGGGCAGAACTTGGTCTGTAAATAGGAGCTAGTTGGGAGCAAGCCTTTTCCAGAGCCAGGCTCATGTCATGATAGTTTTCATTTCTTCAGCCAGACACAAATCAAAGGCACAGTCCTAAAAATGCTTACGTGGAAGCTTTAAGATTCACTAGGTGCTCAAAGTAGCCTGCAACTGCGGGGCCTTTTGCTTGAACACACATCGAAGCTTCTTCAGTGCCTCTGGGCACAGAGTGTTTTGCTCTGGTAATGCATGTGTGCTGTTGCAACTATTGTAAACCTTGGCGTCTCTTTCTGTTCCCACAGTCCGGTGCTCTTTAACATCTTTGTCAGTGACATCGGTGACGGAATGGAGTGCACCCTCAGCAATTTGCTGACGACACCAAGCTGAGTGGTGCGGTTGCCGCAGTAGAAGGAAGGGATGCCGTTCAGAGGGACCTCGACAGGCTGGAAAGCTGGGCCCGGGTGAACCTGATGAGGTTCAGCACGGCAAAGTGCAGAGTTTGGCGCTTGGGCCGGAGGAATCGCAGGCATCCATACAGACTGGAAGGAGCGGTGCTTGAGAGCAGCCCTGTGGAGAGGGACCTGGGGGTCTTGATAGACGGAGAGCTGAACGTGAGCCAGCAGTGTGCCCTTGTAGCTCAGAAGGCAAATGGTATCGTGGGCTCCATCAGAAGAGAGGTGGCCAGCAGGGACAGGGTGAGGCGCTGGAACAGCTGCCCAGAGAGGCTGTGGATGCCCCGTGCATCCTGGAGGTGTTCGAGGGCAGGCTGGATGGGGCCCTGGGCAGCCTGGGCTGGTATGAAATGGGGAGGTTGGTGGCCCTGCCTGTGGCAGGGGGTTGGAGATTGGTCATCCTTGAGGTGCCTTCCAACCTTGGCAATGCTGTGGTCCTGTGATACCAAACCTTTGAATCCTTGAGCCGTTTCTCGCTGTGACTGCTGTTCCTCTGTGGTATGCAGCACTCCTGTGTTACCTGCTCACCTGGAGCAGATCTGAGAGGTGCTGCCGCCTGCAGGAATGAGAACAGGCCTGGGAGGCTGGAGGTGGAGAAGCTGAGTTCTGGCTCACAGGGCAGCTTGAGCAAGGCGCTTTGCCCTTCTCTTTCATTTTTCTCACCTTTGCTTGGAAAACGGCAGGAGTGTTTCCCTGCTTGCAGAACAGTTGATTGAATCCCTTCCAGATCTTTGGAAATGTGGCATGCTGTGGGACATAGATGTCCTTTAGTGGCAATCAGCAGTGAGCTGAGAGAGAATGGTCCTGCTTGGCCTGGAATGGTGCC